TGTGGGAGTCGGGGAAGCCAGGGAGCATGGTATCTGGAGTGCCAAGCAGACCCTGGTCTGAGTTTTGTATTCAGCCGGGAGACTGAGCACAGAGGAGAGCTGGTTCAGGAGCCTGGGTCCTGATGCTGACTCTGCTAAGCGCCGGGGAGAGTCACGACAACATTCTGACCCCAGTGTCCTCAGCTGCTGACTAGAGGATTAGGCTAGACCAGTGGTTCTCAGCCTTTACTATATGTTAGAATCATCTAGGGAGTTTTAAAAATCCACTGCTGCCTGGGCTTCACCCCCCTTGACATTCCGAAGTCACTGGGGTAGGGCAGGGTGCAGGCATGGATGTATTTAAACAACTTTATGGAGATATAGTTCATATGCCAAAAAATCCACCCTTTGAAAGTGTACAGTTCAGTGGGTTTTAGGATACATACAGCGTTGTATAATCATCACCTCTATCTCATTTTACAACATGTTTTCACCCCCCAAAAAACCCATGTGCCTATTAGCAGTCCTTGTTTCCCCCTCAACTAAGCCCTAGGCAACTAGTAATCTACTTTCTGTCTCTAAAGATTTGCCTCTTCTGGACATTTCATAAGTGGAATCCTATAATACACGGTCCTTTGAGGTTGGCTTCTTTCCCTTAGCATAATGTTTTCAAGGTTCATCCATGTTGTAGCATGTGTCAATACTTCATTCCTTTTTGTGGCCTAATATACCATATACCAAGCATGGATAGTTTTTAAATTACTTTTTAAAAAATAGACTTTATTTTGGGGGGAAGTTTTAGGTTCACAGCAAAACTGCAATGAACATACAGAGACTTCCCGTATCCTGCCTGCACAGGTGCATAGCCTCCCCCGCCATTAACACTCCCCACCAGGTGATGCATTTGCTGCAACTAATGGACCTACAGAGGCAAAACGTCATAATCACCCAGAGTCCATGGTTTCCATCATGGTTCACTCTTGGTGTTGTACATTCTATGCGTTTGGACAAATGTGTAATGATGGGTATCCATCATCATAGCATCATACAAAGTAGTTTCACCCTAAAAATCCTCTGTGCTCCACCTATTCATTCTTACCTCCCCTTGAACTCCTGGCAACACTGATCTTTTTACTGTGTCCACAGTCTTGCCTTTTCCAGAATGTCATATGGATAATTTTAAAGTTCTAATATGCAGCCATGATTAATAACCAGTAGATGATCATTAAGTCCCTGCTGGGCTCCATGGTGCTCATGGGTGGGACAGGAGAGCCAACCAGAGCCTCTATCTGGCAAAGCCAGTCTCCAACAGTGCCGTGTCTGTGACCTGACTTACAGGCGAGAAGGCAGATCGTACCTCCGGTGGGGACCCTGTTTTGCAGTGAGGATGACTGTTGCGCTCTGGGAGCTGGGCGTGTGTGAGTCTAGATGAGGGAGATCACACCAGGGTCCAGGCTGAAGACATCCCAGTTCAGTGTCTCTGTGACCAGAAGGTCACAGATAAGTCCTGAGAAAAGGTCAGAAAGGTGCTTCTAAATCCTGAAAATGATTTCATGGAGTTTAAGAGGCTCCCCTGTTGCATAAAATACAGATTTAGTTGTGAAGCCATCCAAATAAATTCACTGGTTGAGCAAACTCGCCGCTGTGCCACGTTCCTCCTCTAGAGCCTTTGTTTGCCCCTTTGGCCTGTTGTCCATTCAGAAGACCCCACCTGGGTTCTTGCCAGTTACATGGGTTGGCACCAACCCACTGAAATTGCCATTCACTGGGTCAGAAAAGATGGTTGCAGCTGTTCCCATCTTGGTTGGGATCTTTATGGTAACCAGAGGTGTTTCAGCAGCTGTTTAGACCGTTAATGGGAAGTGGGTTAATACTTCTGTCCCTGCTTTTTTTTAACCTGGGAAGAAACTTAGTGCTTTTCAACACTATCACAAAGAAAGATGAAGATGAAAGAATGCACAAAACTTATAAATGCAGCCATGAAGTCACCTCCCATTATTCTGGGGTTACAGAAGGGACCCCTGGTCCCACTACTGCCCCCAGTAACCTGCTCTCCAATCAGCAGCTCTAGTGATCTTTGTAAAATATAAATCAGGTAATGTTTCTTCCTCTCCTTGGCTTAATAACCCCACAGTGGCTTTCCTGTACTTAGGATGAAATCCAAGACACTCAACCTGGTTGAGAAATCCTGTGGGATCTGGCCCTTTGCACTTGCTTTTCTCTCTCTTTTCCCACCAATTTATACACAATCTGCTGTCTCAGTGTCAATGTCTTTTCCTTGGAAATGCCATCTCTTTCTCCTTTACCCGCTGTCTAAGTTAAACCCCATTCTTCCTTTTTCTTATGGCATCCTTTGCTGGCTTCATACAGCTGCTCACCATTTGTGAGTCTATGTTTCTCATGTTAGTTTAACAACCTTCCCTCCACCAGACTGTAAGCTCCAGGTTGGATTTGTGCCCACTCTGTTCTCCTGTGCAGTGTCTGGTTGTGATTTCATACTCAGAAATACTTGTTGAAGAAGTGATCGAGTGCGTTGGTGCGTGGAGGGATTCCTGGGATTCCAGAGTCCTGGGGTTGGGGTGCTATTCAGGGCTGCGACGGCTCGGGAGAGCTATGGATATAAGGAAATGAGGGGCGTGAGGCCCAGGGATGTGTTAGTTACCTACAAACAGTGATAGAAACAGGAGGCCAATGGTGAGTGGGTGTTTAGGACCAGGGAACAAACGGACAGACACCAAACAACTTGTCAAGAAAACAGATTCATGACACAAGTGACGCCCTTACAGCCAAGGCAGCTCCGATAGGTGGGGCAGGAACGGTGTGTTAGGGATAAGGTAGGAGACCACCGAAGCTCTGTGCGGAGTTTAGGGCAGCTCCCTGTGCCTTGGAACACAGCTCTGGAATCTGGAATCTGGATGAAAGGTCAGAGGGAGCCTTGTGGATATTGCTACCATTGGAGTCATAAGAGACTCCCCTTCCACTGAGCACCAGCATGTAAACCTGGCGTTCCAGGGAGCTACCTCCTTTACAGGTAATTTCAGGCACGGAGGATGGTCAGAGGCCATGGTTGCCCAGGAGCCCAGACTGACACCCAGTGCAGGGAGGGGGACATACTTTAAAGTCTTCTCAGAGGCCAACAGTGTGCACGAGCCGTGGTCGGGCACCTCCACATCTGGACTGCAGAGGCATCATGAGGTATTGGAAGGCTTTCGTAGGCAGAATAGTGGCCCCTTCCCAGCTGTGGTCAGACAGACATGTGACGACAGAAGCTGAGTCAGAGATGCAACACTGCTCACCTTGAAGACATGTGGGCGACCTCTAGAAACTGCGAAAGGCAAGGAAAGGGATTCTCCCTCTGCTCCAAAAATGACATCCAACTCAGGTGTTTATAATCAGTTCATAGCTTCTCCCAGTCCTTTTTTTTTTTTTTTTTTGTGGTATCCGGGCCTCTCACCACTGTGGCCTCTCCCGCCACGGAGCACAGGCTCCGGACACGCAGGCTCAGTGGCCATGGCTCACAGGCCCAGCTGCCCCGCGACATGCGGGACCCCCCCGGACCGGGGCATGAACCCGTGTCCCCTGCATCGGCAGGCGGACTCCCAACCACTACACCACCAGGGAAGCCCCAGGTAACAATTTTAACATAAGTAAAGTTGCCTGGCGGTTGTAGTTGACATTCCCATTTTATCTGGTTTCCCGGCTGTGGTAGATAGAATAATGAACGGCTTCCTGAGGATGTACAACCCCTAGTCCCTGGAACCTGTGAACATGTTACCTTACATGGCAGAGGGGAATTAAGGTGGCAGATGTGATTAAGGTTATTAATCAGCTGACTTCAAAATAGGGAGATTATTCTGGATTATCTGGGTGGGTCCTTGGAAGTAGAAGAGGGAGGCAGGAGCGTTGGTGTCAGAGGGATAAAATGTGGGCAGGACTCAACCGGACACTGCTGGCTGTGAAGCTGAAGAGGGGTCATGAGGCAAGAAATACAGGAAAAGGCGAGGAAATGGATTCTCTCCTAGAGACTCAGAAAGGATTAGCCCAGCCAATGATTGATTTCCATCCAGTGAGACCTGAGTTGGACTTCTAACCAACAGAACTATAAGATAACAGATATGTGTAGTTTAAAGCTGCTAAATTTATGATAATTTGTTACAGTCATTAGTAAACTAATACAAAGACTCACCAGACCCAGTGTGGGTTAAAAATCTCAGCTCAGATATAGACAAGCGTTACCGAACCAGGTTCGTTTTGCCCAGCTCACAGCAAGCCAAAACACGGACATGGAGGTTTGCAGCAAAGAGAGGGTTTATTCGCGAGGCAGCCATGTGAGGAGACGGGAGAACACATCTCAAATTCACCTCCCCAGAGGCAAGGGTCTCGGAGTATTTATGGGACAAGAAATAGAGAAGCAGGGCAGCCTGAGGCATTGGAAGCGAGGGAGAGGTGATCGGATAAAGGTGTGGTAATCATTCTTTGCGCTGTAACTAGGCTTCATACAGGCCTCTGCACATTCACAGGGGCGCCAAATGGACACTTGCACATGCCCAGTTGAAGCATCAGTGGTTCTACCCAGTCTCAACCAGCTCGGCTTCAACCAGCTAGACACTGCTGACTCCAAGCTCCTAGAAAACAACACGGGCAAACATCTTATTGTTTGGGCTACGTGTGGCTTGGAAGATGTGCAAGTCTTAAAACGACTTTGATTAGTGAAGGCAGGTGAAATTGGATTTGACTAACCATTACCCAGGGTTTCACAGGTGTCAAATCATATGTTATATGTCAATTATATGAGACCACAAGCAGTTCCACCTGGGAGATGAGACGGCGGGGGCAGGGGCGAGGTGGAAGGCCAGAAGTTCCAATGATATTGTCTGCTGGGCTTAGGGGTGTAGATGTATTGATATATCCTGTAGGTCTTTACCTCTCCATTCTGCAAATATTTATTGAGGACTGTATTAGTTTCCTAGGGCTGCTGTAACAAATTACCACAAGTTTGGTGGTTTACAACAACAGAAATTTATTTTCTATAGTTCTAGAGGCCAGAGCTTGAAATCAAGGTGTCAGCAAGGCCACGCTCCCTCCGAAGGCTATAGAGAAGAAGCCTTCCCACCTCTTCCAGCTTCTGAGGGCCCCAGTTATTTCTGGTGTGTGACAGCACAACGCCAACCTCCGTCTCCACATGGCCTTCTTTGTGCCTCCGTGTGTCATTTTCTGTCCCTTATAAGGAGACTCACTGGATTTGGGCCCTACCCCAATCCAGTATGATTTCACCTCAATTCTTATCATAATTACATCTGCAAAGACTATTTCCAGATAAGATCACATTCTGAGGTCCTGGTTGGACATGAATTTTGAGGAGACCCTGCACAACCAGCACAAGGATTGATTATGTCTCAGGCACCCGGCTAGGTTCTGGAGGAAGAACGTCCTTAAATAAGGAACTAAAGAAGCCAACAAGCAAACTAGGGTTGTGATAAGTGCTCTAAAGGCCATGAGCAGGGGAATCCATGGGAATCAGTGTGGGTGGCAAGGAGGCCTTAGACAGGGTGGTCAGGAAAGTCCAGTCTGCAGAGCAGAGCTGAGCTCCAAAAGCCACGGAGGACCAGCCGCACAAAGGTGAGGAGGAGAGTGCGCACCTGATGGACGGGAGGGGCAGAGGCCCCGGGGAGCTGAGGGGCTGGGCAAGTTCCCAGGGGAAGAAATCCAGTGAGACTGGGGCAGGGGGAGAGCAAAGGCAGTGACATGAACTGAGCTTGTCTAAAGCAACCTTTAAGAATTTGGAGTAGGAGTGAAGACATTAGACTACATGTCTGAAGGTTCCCTCTTGCGGTGGCCTGGAGGATGGGGGGTGGGGGGGAGGCAGGGAGATAAAACAGGACATTACTGCAGGCTTCCTGGAGAAAAGATGCTGAGAGCCTGGGCAGTTCACGTGTACCCAGGGATGGGGCCGGGCGGCTGGGAGAGGCACCTGGTGGAAGAATGGACAGGACTGAGCTGGTGAATAGACTTGGGGTAAGGGAGGAGGAAGACCCCAAGAGGTCTTCCAGAACAGGGTTTTGATGACTGGGTAAAAACCAGTGCCATTTACTGCAAGGGAAATGCAGGAGAGAAAATGCCCAGTCAGTCACTTGGGACAGCTCGGAAAACACTGGGCATGGGGCCAAGTAGGCCACCAGGGAGCTGCCACCCTGCACAGTCCTCCTCCGGGAGCGTGCTGCCCACACCTACCTCAGGTCCAGGCAGGTCGGGACACCACTGCGCCCTGTGTGGATGGCTGTTCTTTGCCCTCCGTGGGGCCCAGAGCGGGGAGACGGAGGGAGAGCAGCCCAATCGCTTGCCAACCATGACCAGGCAGTGCCCGTCGTCTGTTTAGAATTATGGACAAGAGACTCCAGGTCCCTCTGAGGTTCTCTAGAGGGAGGGAGGGAGGCCACAGCCATGTTCCTTCGCGCAGAATCTTGTTTATTTCTCCAGACAGCCCTTTCAGGTAGCTGGTGTGATTCCCATTTTGAGAGACGAGGAAATACTTGAAGAAGGTAAACATCCTGATCAAGCTCACACAGCCAGTAAGTTGCAGAGCCAAGACCCAAGCTTAAGTTTCCTGATCTGGGCAACTCTCTTCTCTTTCCATGGCCCTTTGTCACTGGAGAAGGGCACCGTGGAAAACAGGTATCAAAGTCCAGGGGGTGCTGGGTGGTTCAGGGTGAACACTGACACAGGCCTGTTTCCATTAGGTCAGTTTGATGCAAAAGGATGTCAGTCTGTTTCAGAGACCCTGCTTCTTCCATGAGGATTGGTTTCAAGAGGGTTGGGTGTAAGGGAGCTCTTTCTGGAGTGCTCGTAGGATGTTTTTTGAAAGACCTTCTTACACTGCCCCTCTTTTATTCTGCTTCCAGGCAGAATCAAATCAGGCACGGAATCAAATTGATCACATTCATGAATTCATAGAATGAAAGGGATTGTCCTTACAAGACTCTTCTATGTTTAATTAGTTACTATTTTCTCCCTTAGTCCCCCAGCTGCAATCCCATTACCCTCCTCCTTCCCTGCCCCTCTTTGCATACCTAGACATATATTTACTGCAACTCCTTCCACTCCCCCTTCCACCACACCCACGTATGGAGGCATCCTTGATAATGTATATACAGTGTTGTTATTGTTGTTTTTTTTAATTATATATATTTAAGGTGTATGTGGTGGGTTTTTTTTTTTTTTCTGATGTTGGGGGTAGGAGTTTATCAATTCATTTATTCATTTTTGCTGTGTTGGGTCTTCATTTCTGTGCGAGGGCTTTCTCTAGTTGTGGCAAGCGGGGACCACACTTCATTGCGGTGTGCGTACCTCTCACCATCGCTGCCTCTCTTGTTGCGGAGCACAGGCTCCAGACGCGCAGGCTCAGTAGTCGTGGCTCACGGGCCTAGTTGCTCCGCGGCATACGGGATCCTCCCAGACCAGGGCTCGAACCCGTGTCCCCTGCATTAGCAGGCAGATTCCCAACCACTGCACCACCAGGGAAGCCCTACAGTGTTGTTTTGTATGCTGTTTTAAAACTCTTATAAATATTGTACTATAAATATTCTGTTTCTTACATTTTGGGCTTAACATTATGATTTTGAGATTTATACATGTTTTATGTAGTCTGGGTAATTTCTTCTGTCTACTGCAAAGTATTTCACCAAATACGTACAACATATGTTGCTTGTTCATTTCCCTGGGAAGGGGCCCTAGGTTGCTTCCAACTCCGTGACACATCCAGCTCTGTATGAACCTCTTTATACATATTTCTTTGTGAACTTGTGATGATTTCTCCAGTATATAAACTCAAGGCTGGCTTTCCTGGGTTCTAGGGATACACATAGAAAACACCCTTCAAAATGGCTCACCAGCAGCCTTTGAACCAACAATGCTCAAAGGTCACGTTTCCCCACACCCTTGCCAGCATTTGATATTGTCCAACTCTCTAATTTTTGCCAACTTGATGAACATAAAGGGGCATTTTGTTAACTCAGTATGATTCTCCCAAAATCCTAATGGCCATAATCATCTTCGCTAGGACTGAAGGGAACGTAATTAATGTATCAAGTGCTGTGCTAACTGCATTTCTATTATATGTACCGTATAGCCTTTCTTTCCCTGACTTAAGTTCATAAGTGCATGATAAAGGTGCCTGCTTCACAGTGTTGCTGTGAGGCTGATCTAAGGGTCTGGCCCATAGTGCTCAATAGAGGCAAGTTATTCTTATTGTCATAATTACTGTGAATATAAAGTAATTAGCACAGTGTTTGGTACACGGCATTCCAGTAGAGTTTAGGCTCCATCAGAAAAGGGATTTTGTGTCTCTTGTGCACAGCTGTATCTCCAGTACCTAGAAGAGTGTTTGGCCCACAGTTAGTGCTCAATAAGAATTTATTAAATGAATAAAAAATAACTGTTAGCTTCTATAACGATGGTGATGATGCATATAAAGTAACTAGCACAGTGGATGGAACATAGGCCTCAATAAGTTTTAGCTAATGCATGTTAGCTCTTATTATCATTAACTCATGCCACAAAGACCCCATGTTGGGACTTCCCTGGTGGTCCAGTGGTGAAGAACCTGCCTTCCAATGCAGGGGACATGGGTTTGATCCCTGGTTGGGGAACCAAGATCCCACATGCCACGGGGCAACTAAGCCCACATGCCACAATTATTGAGCTCGGAGGCCTCAACAAGAGAGCCTACGTGCTGCAAACTACAGAGCCCATGTGCGCTGGAGCCTGTGCGCTACAACTAAAGAGAGAAAACCTGCATGCCACAACTAGAGAGAAGCCTGCGGGTTGCAACGAAGGATTCCGTGTGCCACAACTAAGACCCAATGCAGCCAAAAAAATAAATTAAATAAATAATAGAAATAGAAAACAAAATAGAAAACAAACAAACAAAGACCCCATATCTTTGCTGTTGCCTTATTCACAGGAAGGAATTAGGCCACTGATTCTCAAAATTGCTTGCACTCTGGGATCATCTGGGGAGATGTAAAAGTAAGTGTTAGCTGGTCAGTCTCCCAATATACAACTCACCTCTTGTCTCTCATCACAAAATACGAATTAATTTACAAAAGGAAAAAGAGTACTTTTAGAGTAGAGAAGCCTGGCAGACACCATCTTAATTAAGTGATCAAAGTGGATGCCATCAGTAACATGACAAATAAACATAGTGGGCCACCCAACAGGATGCAATGAGAACATAGCATCATTTCTGTGATATTCTTGTCAAAGATGAATAAACTAAATCCCCTCATAAGGAAATGTTGAACAAACCCAAATTGAGGGACATTCTACAAAATAATCTTCAAAAGTGTCAAGGTCTTAAAGTCAAGGAAAGGCTGAGGAACTTTCCAGACTGAGGGAGACTAAAGCCACCTGACCGATAACTGCAACTCATGATTCTGAATTGGACCCTTATCTATAAAGAATGTTATTAGGACAATTAGTGAAACTTGAAATCTGAGGATTAGTTAGTAGAGATATAACAATGTTAATTCCCTGATTTGTGGTTTTTTATTGAGGTTATATAGGAGAATGTCTTTGTTTGGGGGAAATAGACACTAAAATGTTTGGGGAAGGTGGCACACTAGGTTGGCAAATTACTCTCAGTTGGTTCAGGAAAGAGTTTTTTTGTGTTGTGTGTGTACCTTAGGCAGTTTGGGCTGCTATAACAAGATGCCACAGACTTGGCAGCTTAAGCAACAGAAATCTGTTTCTCACAGTTCTGGAGGCTGGAAGTCCAAGGTCAGGGTGCCCGCATGGTTGGGTTCTTCGGAAGGCCTGCTTTCTGGTTTGCAGGTGGCTGCATCATCACGTGGCAGAGAACAGAGAGAGGAAGCAAGTCCACGCGCCTCTTCTTATAAGGGCACTAATCCCATTCCTAAAGCTCCACCCTCATGACCTAATTACTCCAAAGGCCCCTCCTCCTGATACCATCACATTGTGGGTTAGGGTTTCAACAGCTGAGTTTTGGGGGACACATTCAGTCCATAGCAACTTCCAACTTTTTTGTACATTTGTACTTGTTTGAAAAAATGTTATTAAAAATTCTGGTTGGGTTCAATTTAAAGCTGATTTAATTGGTATGGGGTATAGACTGGTCTGCAAGTTTTTAAAAGTCTCCCTAGTCATCTTATGTGTTGCCAAGTTTGAAATGACTAAGTTAGATCTTTTCTGCAAGATGATCAGTTAATTTTCTGTGATGAATTATTTCCCATTTTCTGAAAGCCTTGCACTGGGCAGTGTTTCCAGAGGGTGGTGGGCCATCAATATCCCTCCCTGTAAGCTCAGGAAAAGGCCAACCTTTGTGAAATGGGTGAGGGTGAGTTTCTCTCTTGGGCATGTAAGTGCCAAGGGCTGGCCAGGACTGCCTCTATTGACCAGCAACACCTTGACTCCTGCAGTTGACTGCCCCACATCATGGAGAGGATCTCAGATGATGGCTGGCAGAGTCACTTGTCAGGTGAGACTGGGGTTCAAGTCGTGGCTTCACCCTTCACTGGCTGGGTGACATGGCTTATTCACTTCAGTTCACAAGCCTTAGATTCATCCAGCATACCTCTTCATAGGATTATTGTGAGGATTAAATGAAGTCATTAGGGCATGAAAATCACCTAGCACAGTGCCCAGAATGGAATAAGCATTCAATTCATGCTAGCTATGTAATATAATATAAGTATAATGTAAGAAATTTTCTGATTTCCTGAAAATATTAATATTACCAAGAGTTTTTGAGTGTGTGTGTGTGTGTGTGTGTGTGTGTGTGTGTGTGTGTGTCCTGGGAGATGTTGCAGGCCAAGAAGGAGAATAACGTGCTGACAGCTACATCAGTTAAGAGAGCTAAGACCCCAAGTGGGTGGGAATAACCTTGCCATCTGTCCTTCCCTCCCTGCGGGCAGGCCTGGCAAACTCTTGAGAGGTGAGTGTGGGTCCCAACATGGGGGCTAACTGTGCCCAAACTCCCTTTGGCTACAATCTCTTCATGACCCCAGCAGTGGAGAAAATCCCTGCTCTCAGGAGGTTTAAGATCCAGAGGGAAGTGGTGAAATTAGTGGAGAAAAGAGGGCAGCAATGGCAGGAAGAAGCCCCCAGGACCGTCTAATCCGCCTTTTCATCTGAAGGTTTTGAAGGGCAGAGAGAGTCCACTTCTGACGCTGTGTCTTTGGCTTGGATCTTGCTAGGAGAGAGCTGCAGAGAACAGTTGTTTGAAGGGGAAAGGAGGTTAATTGTTTTAACTTGAGCAGAGCAAACTTGGAAAGTGAGAAATCCTCCCTCTTCCAACAGGCCTCTGGTCCAAAACCACACCTGGCCTCGCATCCTTCTAATGATAATCCCCACCGAGTTCCAGGTGTTGAGCCCAGTGACTGATGGTGAGCCCTGCCGAGTTCAGAGGGACAAGATGGAGGCTATATATAAATCCAACAACGTTTCAGAAGGTAAAAGACGCATGACCGATTACGAAAGCTTATATTGCTCTGGGAGAGTGCCGGAGCTTTATTTCTGCCCTGGCTGATGTGTTGTTCTGTTCCCTCTTGGAAGACAAGGCAGTCTCTAGGCCACAGTTCCCCATCTGTGAAATGGGGTGAGATTATCCACCCTGTGGGACTCATCCTGCGTGAGGCACCTTTGAAGGCTCCAGAGCACGACAGCAGGATGCGCTCTGAAGAGCTGGTGCCAGTATTCCCAATGGCAAAGGCATCAGGGCCAGCTGACGCCTCAGGAGGCGTCTGAGAGACCAGCGGGGGACAGCTGGTGGCGGGCCACACCTGCGAGCCTGGTGAGGGTTGCCAGGAGGACTGCACGATGGCAGCAGCTGTGGGGCGAGGTCAGCGGGCAGCCCAGGCAGGAGTCGGGCAAGACGGGGCCTCTTGGAAGGTGGTGGCTGGCATCCGGCTCTCCTCCCAGGCTCTGTTGCCATCACCGAGCCACACACATCGACGGGAGGAGGCCAGCACTTGATGATGCCAGCAGGGAGGAAACTCGGAAAAGTCGAGAAAGGTGAACGCAGAGCCACTCCACAAGATCCAGGCTCTAGAACTGAGATGTGCCCTCTTAGAGCTGACGGTCTGGGGCCAAGCACAGGCTCTCCAGAGGGGCGAGGGCTAAGACATCACCTTTCCTAATCCCTTTATTTTATACAGGTGGGAACTCAGGCTCGGAGAGTATTGGTGGCTTGCCCAAAGCCTCACAGCTAAATAGCAACAGACCAACCAGTCATTTCCTACGTGTTTCCTCTTTTCAGTATAACCTAGTCTCCCTAAATGGTTCAGCGTATGCCAAACTTTTGGAATTTTCTTTCTCCCCAATAAAGGTAACTTCGAGAGGTGCTGTGGCCTGGTGGATAGAGTGGAACTCTGGTCTTTCGGGTCCTTGCTTGTACTCTGCTCCTAACCAGAAGATGGTCTTAGAGATGGCATTTAGGGCCATAATTGAAAACTTGGCTTAACTCAAAGTCTCCCCCAGTGCCTTGGGGGTGGGAGATGGGAGGTGCACCCACCCTGGAGGAGCCCTGACCCTGAGCAGGGAGGTGGTGTGTTAGTTCTGGCACACAGCCAGGCATGGTGACGGCTGTGGTTAACATAGTCCTGAGTGTGCCTTTCAGGTAACTACCCTTCAGCCCAGTCTCTGGACACGCATTTCATACGCAAAACAAGGCGACCTTCCAGGGAGCCCATGGGCTGTAATCAGTCTTCCTTCAACCTCAAGGCCCCATTGGCAGCCACTGCCCCATGATGGGCATCGTCAGGAGCTGTGGTGACAAGCCTGGTGGTAGGAGTGGTGGCAGCTCGGCCTAGTATGACCAGAGCAACCAGGCCGGGGGGCACCTAACCAGCCCACAACAGCAAAGGCCCCTCTTGAAGGGGAGGGTCCCTCAAGTTCACTGAATTATCAGTCCACAGCCTCGGAGGGATCCCGTGTGTTGCTTCTCACCTGTGGTCGGATGATCTGGAGTAAGTCACTTTACACCTGAGCTTCAGTTCCCCAAACTGCAAAATGTGCAATAACATCATAGACTAATGGGGGTCATTGTAAGAACTCAATGAGGTAACATGACAACAATACCTAGAATAGTCCCAGAATCTCAGGAGTCACTCAACAAGTGATATTTCCTTCCATTTCCCTCTTAGCGTTAAATATCATTGAAACTGTCACCCACGCTCTTTGTCGTCTTCCATTTGGGCAAATAAGCACATCGAACACACATACACACACACACACACTCTGTCTCTTTCTGTCGAGAAAGAACCCTAGCTTGTCAGTGCTTACAGGCACTGTGGAAATGCCCAGCACAGAGCTCTCATCACACAGGTGAGGGGCTGGTGCCCTGAGAGACAGCGTGGCTTGGCCAGGGCTGTGCGGGCACAAGTTGCATAGCTTATACTTCCTGCTAAGTCACGTCATGGTCTCCAACTTAGCTGTGGGATGTTTTGGGACTGCAAGCTGATGGCAAGAAGATGAGCTTTGTCTCTTAGATACCAGGGCCAGGGAGGTGACACACTGCTGATGCATTAACTGGCTGACCCAGAATGTCTCATATAACTTCTTCCTCAAATATTTTTGAGATGGTAACATGTCATCCTGGCTTTGTGCTACTCAACATGGCAGCAGAGGGATTTGAAATTATTCTATTACAATCTTCTCTGTATGACGATGAGGTTTCCTCAGTTTTGTGCAGTTAGTGGGACAGGGGGCAGTAGTCAAGGTCTTGGAGAATTTGTCCTTGCTTACACAAGGTAATTCATGTAGGACACAGAAAGGTGGTACCATCACACACAAGCACACGGTCACACATATGTGCACACGCATGTTCTCTCCAGCATGATTGCCAGCACATCTATCATCTAGCTGTCACCTCTTTAACTTGGTAAAAGAGAATACACAAAAGTGAAATAAGAAGAAATCATCTGCTAGTTCAAAGCCCATTTCAGAAGGGAGCCTAAATATATTTTTTCTCCATTTCCTATCTCTTCCCTCTGTTTTTTTCCTCTTTTCGGTCTTTTTTTTTTTTTTTCTGACAACACTGAAGATCCCCTGAAAGTGGTTAGATCCCTTCTCATCTCTGCTAAACGAATGCTGTCTCTACCTAAACCAGTAAAAATAAATCAAGACCAAACATCACTTAAGGGCACGTCCCTCTCGCTCATCTCTCCTGTGTCTGCCAAGTAAACCACTCAACACAAACTTCACTCCCATGCTTCAAAAGTGATGATGATTTTTCCTGATGATGACATTATTTTGCTCATTATGGAGAATTTGAAAATCATGTAGAAATAAAACAAAGAAAAGACAAGTCACTTATAATCCCACAAACTCTGAAACAATCTGTATTAAAATTTTAGTCTTTTTTTCTTCAAAGATCACTTATTAAAACAAAACACGGGGACTTTCCTGGTGGTTCAGTGGGTAAGACTCTGTGCTCCCAATGCATGGGGCCCAGGTTCGATCCCTGGTCGGGGAACTAGATCCTGCACACATGTCATAACTAAGAAGTTCTCATGCCGCAACTAAGAGTCTGAGTGCAGCAAGTAAGACCTGGTGCAGCCTAAATAAATAAATTAAAAAAATCTTAAAACAAAACAAGACAAAACAAAATGCAAACTCGAACTAATACCAACAATAACATTTTGCATTGTTTTGTTTTCTGACATTAGAGCAGGGCTTCTCCATGTCATTAAATAGACTTTGAAAACATAATTTTTAATGGTTGCAAATTATTTCCTCATTTAGCTCTCCCTCTACTTCTTTAACCAGATTCCTATAGTTGCATATTCAGGTTTCCAACTTTCCAATATTATATGTAATTCTGTGATTTTCATCCATGCACATAAATTCCTACCCACATCTCAGACATCAACTGAGACTGAACAGGTGAAATGGTCTGAAAACTGCCAATTCTGAAGCTGGTGGAAGCTGAAGACATCTTCAAGGTTGCTGCTAATTGGTGGGGGCCTGGGTCCCCTGGCCTCCTCTTCCCTGGGTCTGGCCTTCCCCCTGGGCTGCCTTGGTCCTGGACCACATTTACCCTGACAAGGACTCAGATCCTTCTCTGGTTTTCACAAGAGAAAATCATTCACACGAAACAGTGATGTGTTTAGAAGACATTGCTGAAGATTGTGGGGGTCCCTGATGGTGCCACTTGGTGGTCCTTTCCTTCCTTCCCTGTTCTGCTCATCCTGGCCCAGTCCTTCCCTTCTGTCATTCAGTGCTGTGACCTTGTTGTCACAGGCATGGCATGAGGCCACCTGATACACAGGCCCTTAAGAGTGGGGCTCATCTTCTGTCTAAGCAATCTTCTTAACAAAGGCAGTTCTCACCCTAAGAGGAATTCTAGTGCCAGCATTGAATTCTCACATGTGGAAGAAGTTGGAATGTAGCAGGGGAATGTCTGGGTTGAACGGTATGAAAAGTAGGCATTGAAAGGTGTTTAAGGCCAAGAATTAGATGTGGGACAAGAATATAAATAACACAGAACTAAAACAAGTAATTTAAAAATTTATATGGAAACACAAAAGATCCCGAAAAGCAAAAATCATTTTGCAAAAGAAGAACCAAGCTGGAAGAATCATACTCCCTGACTTCAGACTACACTACAAAGCTACAGTAATCAAAACAGCATGGTACTGGCACAAAAACAGACACAGAGATCAATGGAACAGGATAGAAAGCCCAGAAATAAACCCATGCACTCATGGTCAATCTACGACAAAGGAGGCAAGAATATACAATTGAGAAAAGACAGCCTCTTCAATAAGTGGTGCTGGGAAAACTGGATAGCCACATGTAAAAGAATGAAATTAGAACATTTTCTAAAGCCATATACAAAAAAAAAAAAAAACCCTCAAAATGGATTAAAGACCTAAATGTAAAACTGGAAACCATAAAACCCCTAGAGAAAAACATGGGCAGAACACTCTTTGACATATATCATAGCAATGTGTTTTTTGGATCTGTCTTTTAAATCAAAGGAAATAAAAGCAAAAAAAAAAAAAAAAAAAAAAAAAAAAAAAAAAAA